TATGAGTGCTGGTGTTTTGTGCCACGTTTTTTTTTCTCTGTGTTTCTGTTTTTGTACTTTTTCGCTTTATGGCATCCTTACCTGTAACATCACTGACTCTCTCTCCAATACACATTTTAAAGGGGGCTCGACCATCTTGTTTTTCTCCCCATATAGTACAGAAGGGACTTAACTAAAAAAAATCGATTTTTAAAATTGATCTGATCAATTAGCTGTGTACAAGCACAACACACCGGATATTAATAGACATTTTGATGTTGGAATTAATATAAGGTCTGATGAGAAGTGGCGAAAAAAAGTGGGTGGAATAAAAATAATAAAATTTAAGATGAACAATAGTGAGATTGCTTATACTACCACACTAATAATAATAAAAACGTGAGAACAACAATAGTGTGATGGCTTCTACGATCACACTAATAATAATAAGAAAAAAAACACAACTTAAGAAAAACAGAATTGTGATTGCTGATGCAATCACACTAATTATAGATAATGCATGACATGTCTGGGCTCATGCAAGTGGTTTTTTCACCCAACTATGACCTCAGATCTAATGTTCTCTATCTTGAATGTAAAGAGACGAACTTCAGTGGATTATGTGGACAGTGAATTAAGACTGAGAGAAACTGAACATAAACTGAGTACAGAGCTGACTGTGTGACAGGGAACCACTTAGAAGACACAACACACTTCCCCTAACCTCATTCAAAACCAAACTGTGTGGTTTCCTGAGGATCTGAGGAACCCCTGCAGCCTGACGGTAATGCATTTCCTTTGCTACAAAGAAGCTGCTGTTTTGTTTCTTGCAGACACAAAAGAAACAAAAGTAAAAACTGCCTCTGATTATAAAAACCTTATCAGTGCTAATTAACATATAGCTCCTGGTGAAGATATACTGTTTTGCAGTGAAGTTTTTGGGGAAATTTGGGGAAAAAATTTATATTCGCGAATTATAAAAAAAAATATATATATATATGAATAAAACTATTCCAACTGACCCATATTGTATACGTGGTGCAGTGTGAAATTAACTGAACACACGGGAATATATATAATTGGGAACTACCATTCCCCTCTGGTTATAGGGGTACCACCCTACCACAAGGGACAAAAGGGCAATAAATATAAATAAAGACTCTGCGTAGGTTCCACATGTGCGCGCCCATCTGCTTCCACCCTTGCCGATCCTGCAAACAAAACCTTGGTAGAAAGGTACCAAAACAAAAATTCATTATTGCGGTAAAATGCCACTGTACCCTTAAGATAGTGAGGACGGTTCCATAAGCGTGGCCTCACACACCCCCCCCCACTCAAGCTTGTCCCTCCTCATAGAGGCGGGACAAGAAATCAGCAGTCACGTTGTCCGTACCTGCTTTGTACTGTACCGTAAACCTATATGGCTGCAATCACAAATACCACCGCGTAATCCTAGCATTACTGTCCCTCATACGATGCAACCACTGTAAAGGCCATTAAATAATATTTAAGGGTGTCCAACGCCCATTTGATAGCTAGGCACTACTTCTCCACTGTAGAATACCTCGTCTCCCTGGGGAAGAGCTTGCGGCTGATGTACAGAACCGGCTTCCGGTCCTCTTCCCCTCCTTGCAACAACACAGCCCCAAGCCCCAACCCAGAGGCATCAGTCTGGACTGAAACGGGGAGGTCAAAATTAGGGCTCTGCAACACCGGAATACGACACAAACTGCCCTTAAGTTCCTGAAAAGCTTGATCACACTCCTCTTTCCAAACCGCTTTGTTAGGTCCAGACTTGCGAGTCAAGCTGGTCAACGTGGCGGCCCGGCTAGAGAAATTGGGTATGAACCGCCGATACCACCCAACCAAACCCAAGAAGGACCTCACTCCTTACTCCACCTTATTCACTTGAGGCTTAATAGTTCCCCCACCCAAGACATACCCCAGATAGCACACCTCAGGCTTAGCCAGCTGGCATTTACTAGCATTGACCACCAGACCAGCCTTGCTTATCCTTTGCAATACGTCAGCCAAATGCCTTACATGTTCGGCCCATGAAGAGCTATAGACTACCACATCGTCTATATAGGCAGCAGCATAACCTTCCGCCCCTCTCAACACCTGATCCATCAGGCGCTGGAAGGTTGCCATGGCCCCGTGTAATCCAAAAGGCATGGTGGTAAAATGGAACAGCCCCATCGGAGCACGAAATGCTGTCAATTCCTGAGCTGCAGGCATCAGGGGCACCTGCCAATACCCCTTACACAGGTCCAGTGTGCTGAGGTATTGAGCCTTATCAAGTCGCTCCACCAACTCGTCCACCCTGGACATAGGATAAGGGTCAAAAAAATCCACACAAAAACAAAGCCCCCCATCCTTCTTTGGAACAAGCACAACTGGGCTAAACCACTCACTACGTGATGGCACAATCACCCCCATCTCCAACATTGCCTGGACCTCTTGTTTTAGTGCAGGGATCAGTCTTGCCGGAACTCTAAAGGAAGTCTGTTGAATTGGGCCAGGAGATGTCAGCTGAATGTCATGATGAATCAAGGCTGTCCGCCCTGGTCGCTCTTGAAAGAGACCTTCCGGAATAACCAGCAATAGTTCCTCTCGCTGATGACTGGCCAGATGCTCCACTGAAGGATGCAAGTCCTCCTCCCCCACTGTAGGAAAATACTGTTCCTTGAGCTCCTCCTCCTCTGGCACCACACGAGCCCATCTCAGATCACTGGTATCTCCTGACCTCAATATCCACTCTTTGAGCAGGTTGACGTGAAACACCTGTTTGGGATTGCGTCGATCTGGCATAGCCACTTCATATGTAACAGGGCCCATCTTGCGTAACACCTCAAAGGGCCCCTGCCACCTCGCCAGGAGACTGCTATCAGAAGAAGGCAGCAACAAAAGAACTTTCTGCCCCGGGTTAAAGGTGCGGCTACGAGCCGTCCGATCATACCAAGTCTTTTGATGTACTTGAGCCTGAGCCACATTATCATGGGCCAGGCTACTCAACTCCTCCAGCTTGTCCCGCATCTTGAGCACATAGCTCACAATGCTACACTGATGTGGAGAGCCACTCCCCACCCAGGCCTCCTGGAGGACATCAAGGGGGCCCCTCACCTGTCGTCCATAAAGCAGCTCAAAAGGGGAGTAGCCGGTGGATGCTTGAGGAACCTCTATATGCAAAGAGAATATAAGGCAGCAACTGGTCCCAATCAACTCACATGCCACACACAAACTTCCTTCACAGCCTTCAATGTTTGGTTGAAACGTTCAACCATCCCATCAGTCTGCGGGTGGTAGGGCGTAGTTCTAATGCCCCTAATTCCCAACAATGCATACACCTGCTTCAAAAACCTAGAATTGAAGTTAGTACCCTAATCAGTAATAATCTCTCTAGGAATACCCACCCGAGAAAATAACTGGATCAAACAATTAGCCACCTGCCTAGCCTTAACATTTCTCAAAGGAAAAACCTCAGGATAACGGGTCGCATAGTCACACACAACCAGAATATAGCGGTTGCCGCCCCTACTCTTCTCTAGAGGGCCAACTACATTCATAGCAATCCTGGTAAAAGGAACATCTATAATGGGCAGGTTCACCAATGGCACTTTCATACCTCTACGCGTGCGAGTGGTTAGTGGGCAGGATTTACAATGATCCATGACCTCCTGATGTACCCCAGGCCAATAAAAACGACTACAAATCCTCCCAGGTTTTCTTTTGACCCAAGTGACCTGACCAAGGGATACTATGGGCTAACTGCAATACCTTGGCCCGTAGAGCCTTAGGCACCACCAGCTGTTCTCCCTCAGCAGTCACGCGCACCAGCTTTCCCTCTCTCAACACAAAACCCTCCTTCCCTGGTGCTAACACCCTAGGGTTCTCCTCTTTCCTTCCTACCTTCTGAAAACATGAACTCAAAGTGGTATCCTCCTGCTGCACCATGCCAAAGTCTGCAACCTTCAATATGTCCTCCTCCAACGCAGGAAGGGGCAACTGTTCCTGCACGGGAGTGCCCAAAACTTTCTCCCTCCTCCTTGCAGACTTAGGCTTTCTCTCCTTACCCCCAGGAGAGCATTCAGAGAAAGGCAAAACCTGCCACGAATCCCTATCAGTAGACCTAATCTTTGCTTGAGTCCGAGTTACACATAACTGCCAACTGGGGACTGATGATGCTGCAACAGCTCGGCCAACACCGGAACATCCTGGCCTAAGACAACAGGGAAGGACAGGTATCCATGATACCCACGTTCAACAGATACATCTGCCTATTTCCATCTGAATATCTGTAGTTTGATGTTCACTCTCCTCACCATGAATACAGCGTACCCTCACTCTACCCACACCAGTCAACCTATCAGAGCCCAAACATGATCGTTGAACAAACGTCTGGCTGCTGCCCGAATCTATCAGAGCCTGCCACGTATTTCCCTTAATTCGTACCAGAACTACAGCATCAGTGGAAGTGAACATTGCATTAGGCAGACTAAAACCGGGGGTGTAACACAACCCAACTACACTACTACGGGCTAAGGGACACTCTGGTTTTATATGGCCAGGCTGTCCACAGTTATACCATATTAATTTAGGCCTAGGCTTAGCATTTAAGCTTGATACTCTACCAGGGCTACTAGCCCTCCTAAATTCACGACCACCACCCGCAGACTTACCAGGGATCTTCCCCTCCAGTTCCCATGGAGCACCAGGGGTCCATCGGCCTGATGTACTTTGAGTCCCGAGCTGACAGGTCCGCTGGTGCCGCCGGGCTGCAAGGAAAGCCTCAGCCAAGTCTGCTGCCTCCTTAGATGACTGTGGGTTACGTTCTTTAACCCACACCTTCAACTCTGGGTTGAGCATGCGGAAAAACTGCTCAAGTACGATGGCATCCCCAATCTGTTGTTACGAACCCCAGTCTAGGGTTGGGGCATAACAGAGGAAGGGAAAGGGGAATGGGGAATAAAGGAAACACAGGGTGTAGTGCACCAGGGAACACACGTGGACAAAGGGGTATATTTTTATGTTTTTTATATTTTTGATACACACGACAGACACAGAACAGCAAACCTGGTGCAAGAGCTTCAGGAGTGATAAAGACCAAAATAATAAACAAAACCCCAACTACCGAACGAAACCCAAATCTAACTGAACTACCAAAGAACACAGAAACAACAAAACCTATACCTAACTCCCTAACCAAATCAGTGGACACAAAGTATATCAAAACAAAACGGCAACCACTCCCTACACACCAGATACATATACAAACACACATACAGGCCAAAGCGTAAAGTCCGAGGGGCGCGCGAAGTCGTAAACCAAAAACCGGGCGAAAGATCGAAAACCAGAAAGCAAACCAAGACCGGGCAGAAGTACAAAGAAAGGGCAAAGCGAGAAATCGTAATCCGAAAACCAAAACCGTCATACACAATAATCAATCAAATAAGCAAACCAAAACACAATCCAAAACGAGCAGAGCGAGCGCTACTGAAGACTGTTGCTTCCCGGCTTTTCAGTCCGGGAACTGGAAATGAGCAGGCGGTCCGATGTCTTGGGGGCGTGGTCCTGGTCGAGGTCGAAGGGGCGGAGCGAGCCGTAGCGGAGCGTAACACTGTGCCTTAGTCTTTTCCCCTGGACACATCCACTTCTGATACAAATCTGTAAGCCGAGCTTGCAACTCTCTAGCTGTTTCTCCCTCTATAACCATCAAGGAACAAAATCTGTGTCGATATGTCTCTAGATCAATTTCAAATTTAGTTAAGATGGCCTGTTTCACTTTATCATAGTCTCTGGTATCCTGAACATCCATTGCCACATAGGCAGCACGGGCCTTCCCTGACAACAAAGGAACCAGATACAAAGCCCAGCTGTCCCTTATCCATTGGTTTGCTAATGCAATCCGTTCAAACGTGGTCAAGTAATGCTCAATGTCCTCATCCTCAGTATACGGGGCCATCTTAGGGGGACCCCACCCAAGGTGCACTGGTGGAGGGAAGCCCACCTGACTGGGGGCCTCAGATGTAGAGCTGGCTGCGTAAGATGCCACCTGCGCAGAACCCTGACGAAGCTCAGGCAGCGACACGGAGTCCAGTGAGGGGTCTACCACTCCTGCTACTGGCTGGGGACCCACGTGCTCCATGCTCACCAACAACTGTAGTTGCTGAAACTGATGGTGCAGTGACCTCCACCTTTGGTCCTGACGCTGTGACTCTCGCTCCAATCTCTCATCCCTAGATTGCTGAGCCTGAATAAATGAGGTTACTGCAGTCTCAAGCCTCAGCAGACGGTCATCTGGGGGTGCTGAGTATGGCCTAGATGCCATATCACCTTCCTCTACTACTGAATAAGGTACCACGATAGTACCTATGCCAGCCTTGCTTCGTGTCACTGGTGGTTGCATTCGACTCGGCTGTGACACCACAATGCAAAGCACCGACCCTGGCAGAACACTGGATCCCACCGCTGCCACCAAATGTTGAGGGGTAAAGTGTTGAGAGGTCTCAGGGTCGGGCAAAACACAAAAAAACATCCAAAAAAAAATTTGGGATATGTGATTTATTTTGTCATCAGCTCATGTTCTGACTTCTCCCATTAAACACTCCAAAAACAAGAGAAAAAATAAAGAAAACAACAAAGAAAACCTCAAAGAAAAACTAATACAAAACTATCAAACAAAAACAAAACAAGTACAACAGACTTAGCTGTGGCCTCTAGTCGCAACACAGCAGAGGATCTCCAACTCCGAGAGCACACAAGTAGCTGGGCCCATAAATGATGATCAGTCCATACAGGATCAGAATCAATCAATACCTCAATCACCTCATATGTATGTCTGCTAGGTTGAGTTGAACAATCACAACTTCCCAGAATATCACAGTAACAGGAGGACAGTGAACAACTCTTATTAATGCTATGCTACATGGGCGACATAATCGTCCGGGAGTTCATCCTAATGCACTTTCTTTTCACTCTTCACGGTACTTTTGTTTGTGATCCAGTGTGTCTGTCAGTTCTGTAAGAAAGTTCCCTTCAGTGTACTAAAACCTGCATATGGACCATTGGTCCTTCCCTACGTGAAGCATGTGAAGAAGATTCTTTCTGAATGGACTGCTGTCATTTTATTATTCTGTGTTGTATTAATTTTACAAAAAAAAAAATCAGCTCTCAGATGGGATCTGGCCCCCATTGTTCATGTAAAAGGGCTCATAGAGCTGATTTACTCACGACTAACACATCACTACTCAGCGTGAGAGAGACACACACAGTATGCAGAACTGATGGTTCATAACTGTTCTTCAAATCCTCTCTGATCCACATACAGCATTTGAAGAGTCACCAGATCTTCAGAGAGTAGCTACAAAGGTTTATTGTAAGGACTTTCCTTAGACCTGGCTAGTTTTTGTGTGGCATCCCACACTCCCTTCAGTGTAGATAGTCCTGCCTGTCCTGCAGCTTCTGCAGCTTCCTTGGCTGCACGGTTGGTACCGACGCATGTTTCTCCAGCTTTGGCTCCTGCCATTCCGCCTCTTACTGCTCCTGCTATGGCATAAACTCCTCCAGCCACTACCAGTCCAACTCCTGTTGCTGCTCCTGCTCCTATTGCAGCCCCAGCTGTTCCTACTGCTGTTGCCCCCGCTGCTGCTGCTGCCCCCGCTGTTGCCCCCACTGCTGCTGCTGCCCCAGCTATCCCTGCTACTTCTTCAACTGCTCCTGCAACTGCTATATTTCTGGGATTAACTTCCGGTTCTTCTGATCTACTGCCCAGTATTGACTTTACTCCTGCAGTGAAAAGTCCAGCTAATGCCACAAATGGTACAGCTGCTCCAACAGCGACTCCATGCATGAGCCCCAGCAAAGATCCAACTGCTGCTCCTGCTACTTCTGATTTAAAAATCTTATTTCTGATTCTCTCTCTGGCTTCTTTCTGAATTTCTGTATTTCTCTCTTTTATTATTTTATATATCTCATGCCCTATAGCTTCTATGTTGTCTAGCTTCTGGGATTCAGTCATACTGTCCCTATTCCTTCTAACTATATTTATGGCTTCAGCAAAAAACACTTTCATTCTGTCTTGTATTATTTTATTTACCTCATCCTGTATAGCTTCTGCGATGAGCTGAAGTGATTCATTTGTGTAACAACGACCTTCATTCCCTTTCACCATGTTCTCTATAGTCATCAGCAGCTGTTTAATCTGAAAGCTGTTGCTCCTGTAATCTGATTCATCCAGGTTTCCATCAGACCTTGTAGGTCTTCCTGACCCTTGGCCTGGTTCCTGATCAGGTGCTGAGGATCTTTGCTGTAATATCTGGTTCTTCAGTTCTTCCAGTGCCTGAACAGCCTGTGATTCCCCAGCTTCTCTCTTCTCTTTCATCATTTTATTTAGTTGTTCCAGGAGATCTGCAGACTGAGCATTTTTATCTTTTCTGTTCCAGTGCTTAGAGTCAATGACATGGACTCGGCGTTCACACTTATCAACAAGTTCCTTCAGATCCTTGTTCTTATCTACAAACTCTTTAATGGTCTCGTTTTTGTGAAGCTCATCACCATGTGTGAAAAGGACAACTGTGTGTTTCAGGGCTTCCTCCCCAAACCACTTCAGTATCATCTTCACAGACTCTTTCTCCTCTCTTGTGTATCTTCCCACTGTCAGCACTAAGATGAAGGCATGTGGACCAGGAGCACATTCAGAGAGACATGATATTATGGAATACTTCAGATCTTTCTCAGACCTCCCAGTGTCAAAGATCCCTGGTGTGTCAGTTACTGTAATCTTCCTGCCATTAACGTTTCCTTCTTCTGTTTGACAATCTGTTGTTGCATCATATGGAACACATGAAACTTTAAACTTCTCTTCCCCCAGTATAACATTTCCTGCGCTGCTCTTCCCAGATCCTGTTTTTCCCAACAGCACAATTCTTACTTCAGCAGGTGCTTTGGGAGAAAAACACAATATCAGTTACCTTGAATGTTATTGATTTGTCTCAGTTTGACTGAAGACTCATAACAATGTGCTAAGATCAAGCCTGTCAGCAGGGGGCACCATGAATGTGGTCATAATGAACATGAACATGCCATATTGCTGTGGAAATTCTCCAGCATGTCTTTAGCATGTCTCGGGTTCAATTACTTTATGCTGTCAGCAGATGGCAGTGCAGAGCCACACAAAGCATAAGCGCATGGGGAAGACACTGAGAGGTACTTATTTACAATAACTCCTTTCATCCCGAACACAGGTTTCCTCGTTCCGCTTAACCAATGAAAAACCTAATTTCTCTATTTGTTTTTAGCTGAACAGGCAGGTGCTCCAAGCAGAAGCTAGGTTTAAAATAACTGCAATTAACAGCCAGGATTTGCTCTGCTGCTTTAGGGCAGTTAGTTAAGCAGGAATCAGGAAGTTATACCACCAGCAGTCAGACACACAGATACAGAGAAACAGGATGTGCTGCAACTACACACAGCAAAGGCCAATATGACTGTAAAAGTGTCCTTTACAGCCAGCAGAGCCCTTCAGAGTAAGACCCTCAGTCACACCTCCACCTCAGAGATTCATCAGCTGGTCTGAGTCCAGCTCAGAGGATGTCAGTGTAGCTGATGTCCCAGTTACAGTATCTCTGATCATCAGTCTATGTGCTTCAGAGAGAGAAAGACCACAGCTGGGAGGCATATCAACGCAAATACATGCGCATTTGCGCCGTTACAACAATCGATTGCCGCACGTATCACTTTTAAAGGTGAATGCGTACTTGCGTACCAGTTATGTCAATCCCTGCCTATACAAATATTTGGAATAAGAGTGACTCGGCTGTAAGAATATCAGCTACATCTCTCTCCCGTCATCACTGAGCTTTGTGGTGGATATAGAAGATCTTACCATCACTCATGTTGGGACGTGATCCAAAGCTGTGTGACCTGGTCCTCCGACCTGCATGTATTACAAATGAATGAAAGAAAAACAATCAGTTGCAATTTTGTGCATATTTGTCAGTTAAGCTCATTTTCTGACTGACTGTGACATAGATTAACTGTGACTCCAGCTCAGCTTCTCGCTATTCTCATTACTGAGCTGTGTGGAGGATATAGAATATCTAAGCCCTCATCATGAACTCTCAGGACCTGTGTCAGTGCTACATCTCCAACCTCAAATTCCTTTGCATGTGTCATTATGCACGATGAAAACACAGCCTGTTTACTATAATCTCAGTACATCAGTCTCAGTCTACAAGGAGGACGACTGCTCTGTGACCCAGTTACACTGAGTTCTCTAATACAAAGATACAGTGACCTTGATAAATTACTGCATTTCTGTTTGTTTCTGTTTTACAAAACATATCACTGCAGAATTAAACATGGGAATGCCTTCATAAACCAACCTGAATGATTCCGGAAGGATTCCTGGTCTTAGAGGAATGTCTTATGAGGAGAGGTTAGCTGAGCTGAATCTGTTCAGCCTCGCACAAAGGAGATTAAGGGGGGACATGATCCAGGTCTATAAGATTCTAACAGGTCTGGATGCTGTTCAGCCAAATAGTTACTTCAATATTAGTACAAATACAACAACTCATGGCCATAGGTGGAAATTAGCGGGAGAACATTTTAAACTGAATCTGAGAAAACACTTCTTTACACAACGTATAGTTAGAGTATGGAATAGTCTTTCCATTAGTGTAGTGCAAGCTAAAACCCTGGGTTCCTTTAAATCAGAGCAAGATTGTCATGTATGCTGGGGCACGCAGTGGGGAAAGAAGACCAGGGGTCGAGTCGGGGAAACACAGGGTTTAATTCGGAGTGAAGACAAGCAGGAACATGGAACAGGCAGAAAAGACGCAATGACCTTAATGGCCGGACTGGGGAAACATACTTTAACGCGGACTTAAATACACAAGACTAGTTAAAAACAACTAGACACAGCTAATAACACGGGGATTCCACACAGGGTAAATGAGGGGGCGTGGCACACGGGAGGACCGGACGAGCGGGGCATGACATAGATACAGTTTTAATAACTCTGAGCTATTAGTTAAGTTCTCCCCAAACGAGCTTGATGGGCCAAATGGCCTCCTCTCGTTTGTAAATTTCTTCTGTTCTTACGTTCAAATGCATTGAGGAGACCAATGATGTAATAATTCTGCAATTATGTAATAATTACCAAACAAATAATAAAGAGGATGTGTTTAACAGGACTGTTAGCACGACTTTAGGAAAAGAAAATTAAGAAAAACCCAGGTCTCACCTAAAGCTGACTCTGATGCCATTATTCCCTGCTTCTCTCTGTGAGACAAAGTGAGAATTTACAGTTTACAGGTGAATTTACATGTGACAGTTATAGATACTCATCAATGATAATGATAGACTATATGTGTGCTGTATTTTGTTTTACTAGGTGCCATATAGTTTGCGCTTAAGTCAGGGATTCTCTCTGTAGATAAAACACTAGATGATCTAAGTCCAAGAACTGTGTTTGTCCATTTAGAAAGAGCATCAGCGCAAAGCGAAAACTACAATAAATTATTTTGGATTCAAGTGTCTGTTAACAGAAACAAAAAATCATAAATTTACAGAATTTATATTCAAATTCAGATTACTTTATCTCTAAGGGGATAAATGACAGGAACACACAGACGTGAGGTAAGCATACAGGTAGACATAACACCAAGTTGCAAAATGCAAAAATATATCTTGAAATATGCTAATTGTCCAAATATGTTAAATGTACAAATGTGCAAAAACACCTCTAGTGTGCAAAATCAATGTAAATGTGCATTGTGCTTTATGTATTGGCTCCGAGTAGGAGATTCCTCTTCCCGCACAGAGAGGAGTTGTTATAGAGGCATTTAAATAGTACAGCAGCCTTTATGTGGACATTCTCACAAAAAAGTGTTTGTAATAAGAACCGTAGATGAGTGAACAGTAACTGAATTTGAAAACTCAGCTCACCTGAATGTGTGTCGCTGCTGCTTCTCCTCACCTCTGTCTGAACAGCTCAGTCTTAGGCTGCATTGCTGTGTGAAGCTCCGCGTTTCCTCTGTATGAAGTGACACTAATGTGCCCATTAGAGAGACATGAAAGTTTATACTTATATAATGATCTCAACATTTGCACACAAAGTATAGATGTGTTATCTGGTTCTGCCAGTTGTTCAGTAAAGGGAGAATAACTGGTGTCGACCTGTATTTATTAAAATCCCAGTTCGTTGCTATGAGTCTGACACACAGATGCTGTATGGACAGCTGTATGACAGGAGTCATTTAGCTGACATTTTTTTTCAAATTTCTGTTCATCTCATGGACTGTGTAATAAAGCTGCCGGCTGAGGACCTGACAGTCGCCTACAGGTGGCTGCCCTTTGCGGACAACTTACTCTACAAAGAGCAATCTGAGGGAGGCGTAAAGACAGTTTCCCCACGGGGACAATAGCGAATCTATTATTATGTGATTTTGAAACATGAGTTTTCAAAAATTAAGTTAATTATGGCCATTTGCTGATGAAATCATGTGATTAGCTGCACTCAGGGACGGATTACGGACCGGGCCAGCGGGGCCGCTGCCCAGGGGCCCTTGGGGTGCAGGGGGCCCATGGGGCCCCTAGCC